AGACAACAAAGATGAACCCTTTTGCACATACAGTACTGCATTGTCAGTCAAGGCAAACATGGGTATATGGGTGGATAGATGGGTGGACAGGCTGAACTATTATGTATGTCTATGAAGCAGGGAGTGTAGTGTACCCAAGACCATGTATAGGGTTGGCAGACAATGGTCCTATAAGTGTATTAGTATGATCTGAATTCCCAGGGGTATAGTAGAGCTGACAAGGGACAAGGTTGTAGTCACTTCTTGGTCACAGTCAGCTACCCAGAGCGAGTAGTTGAACCGGTGGGCTCGGGACTATAGTCACAGGGGATATCAAGTTCAATTGACATGACGTACTACACAAAACATTGTTCCACCTCCTACTCCGGCGAGTAGCAACTGGGATCTTAAAAGCTTGCAAGCAAGACAATGGGCCTCTCGAAGAGTATGAAGGGATGGACACTGGGAGGAGGTAACTATGGGGGGGAAGTGGGAGGGGAGCTACTGCATTGTAAATTTTGGTCAATGACATGAGACAAAGTATATGTGAACTGCTGTATGAAAAGTGAATTTACTCTGTAAATCTTCACCCAAATCCTAATTAAAAAAAAAAAAAAAAAAAGCTAGGAAGCTGCCATCTAGATGCAACAACGGGTCTCTCCTCATCAAGAAGAAAGAAGAAAACCAAAATTAATGGAAACAATCAGTCCTAGCGACTGGTACACCATCCGATCTGCAACCTATACAACCATGAGACCAGAAGAACTAGATGGTGCCCAGCTACCACTGCCATCCACTTGGAAGGGAAAGAGGTAGAACAATGTGGAACAAAACTCAAAATCATTTGGACACAAAAAAAAAAAGAAGGTGGGGACCAGATTTGCTGGTCCAATAGAGCCTGGTGTAACCACTGAGACTATGGCCCCTAGCTGCCCTTCAGGTCTGGAATTGAACCCACAACTGTGGTTTCCAGCCAAACAAAGTACAGGCATGTGAGTTAAACATTTACCTCAAGTAGACACACGCCCTGGAGAGAACAATCATGGGAGAAGGAAGGGCTGCTTATGCACAGGGAGATAGCTCAGGGTGCAGAAGAGTATGAAGGGATGGACACTGGGAGGAGGTAACTATGGGGAGGAAGTGGGAGGGGAGCTGCTGCATTGTAAATTTTGGTCAATGACATGAGACAAAGTATATGTGAACTGCTGTATGAAAAGTGAATTTACTCTGTAAATCTTCACCCAAATCCTAATAAAAAAAAAAAAAAAAAATTCAGTCAAAAAAAAAAAAGCTTGCAAGCAGCCATCTAGATGCAACGATGGGTCTCTCCTCATCCAGAGCAAAGAAGAATGAAGAAAACCAAAGATTCATGGAAACAATTAGTCCTAGCAACTGGTACACCATGCAGTCCACAGCCTATACAACTATGAGACCAGAAGAACTAGATGGTGCCCAGCTACCACTGTCAACCACTTGGAGGGGGATCTATGTAGGAGATCCTTGATAGAGAGGGAGAACAATGTGGAACAAAACTCAAAATCATTTGGGAAAGAAAAGGGGGGAGACCAGATTTGATGGTCTGATAGAGCCTGGTGGAACCACTGAGACTATGGTCCCTAGCTGCCCTTCAGGTCTGGAATTGAACCCACACTGTGGCTTCCAGCCAAACAAAAGACAGACATATGAGTTGAATATTTACCTGAGGTAGATACACTCCTTGGAGAGAACAATCATGGGAGAAAGAAGGGCTGTTTATAGACAGGGAGACAGCTCAGGGGGCAGGAGTGTATAGAGGGATGGACACAGGGAAGAGGTAACTATTGGGAGGAAGTGGGAGGGGAGCTGTTGCATTGTGGTAAATTGTGGTCAATGTCATGAGACAAAGTATATGTGAACTGCTGTATGGAAAGTGAATTTGCTCTGTAAATTTTCACCCGAATCACAATTTAAAAAAAAAAAAAAAACCATTGGAAAGATGAGATGCCCTTTCTTGCAATGACTAGGAACAGGGCCCTTGGCCACAATTTATATCCTTTGGTCATTCACAGTCAGCCATTTAGATGAACAGCTTATCTGCAAGTGACTTCCCAGATAAAATTCCTTGATTATGGGCACCAAATCCTCCCTGTGCTTTGTTCCCTACACCATACCAGATCATCACTTAGGAAGTTTTGCCTCCCCTCTTCTAGTAATTAGCATATTAATTCAGTGCACTGTTCCTCTTTTAAAACCTGATTTGTTTCAAGACATTTATGTCAATAATAGGAAATTCTGTTATTAATGAGTTGCTCCTTTTCATCACTGCTTGGCACAGTGGGTGATAAGACAAACCTCCTCCCTCTGCTTGCTGGTTCCTTACCTCCATGTAGGGTTCAAGTTCTGGCCTCTAACAAACAACATGGACAGCCTTGGGCCACTCACCAATTTTCTTTCTTTCGTCCCACGTATGCTGGAGTAGAATTGTACTCCCTGGGCTTTCAGTGGTTGATTTTTTGGAATGACATCACCTGTAGGTCGTGCCTATGGGTGAACGTGAATCACCAAACTTTGGGTTAGCAACTGAGCATTTTGCACCACCAAGGGACTCCATAATATGGCTGAACTACTATGTACTTTGCAGTGAGAAGTAATTTTAAAAAACCTTACTGTTCCTTGGTTTTCTCATCTATTAAATGGGGCACCTCTCTGATAGGGTTGCTGTGAGATTTGATGTTTACGAAGTGCTGGCCATGAACCCTGCCACGTAATTCCATTGCCAACATTGCAACTGTCATCATCATCATTGTTTGCAGTTTTCCCCCCGAATGTGCAGGCAACAAAAAAGATTGGTCATTGACTTTCAGGTTTTGGAGAGCAAGATGGCCCATGAAAAAAGAAGAGCAAAGGAAGCCTTAGAGACAGAAAAGAGAAGAGCTCAAGATCTGGAGAATCACTTAACCCAGGAGAAGGAGGTATGAGAAACAGGAAGATCAAGGGGGCTGTGGCAGCCAAAGCCAGGCAGGAGGCAATGTTTCCATGTCCTAACATGCAGTACAGTGGTGAAGCCTGTAGATTCCAGAGCCAACATCCTATTTGAGGTGGTCAATATCTGCCACTTACTAGCTGTATGACCTTGGGCTGGTCATCTGTTTCCTCATCTGTAAAATAGGAATGATAACAATCCCTACCTCATAGGATTAAGTAAGTCAGTAAACAGCAAGTGCTTCATTTGAACAGTGCCTTGCACATACTGGCCTTCTGCAAGTGTTCCCTGCTATTATTAACTTAATGATGTCCACGCTCATAGAGAAGAGAGCTGCCCCCACACATACCAAAACAGAAGCTCTGGTTGTAGTCTGGGTCGGTCCCTCAGCTAGCATCCACCTTCTCATCATCAGAAGGTATTTATAGGATGTGATTCAGCATGACCACAGGAGAACAAATTCCCTCTGGCTCTGGCCTTCTGGCTTCAGGATCTCCCAGGCACACCTGCCCTGGACTGACAGATGGGTAAGAGATGCAGATATAGTGAAGTGAGACAGAGTAGGCAGGTACATACCAAGATCATACTGCAGTCACATCAAGTAAGCATGAGAAGTAAGTACCTTCTGGAACAGATGAGTCATGCACCCTCAAGGAGAGGATGGAGTGGGAGAGGGGTCCCCGAGACTAGGCCCAGGCAGAGCTGGGACATCCATATCCATCTGCTCACTCCTGGCTGGCCTGAGGACTGGGCCTTCCGGATGCACCCACCCAGAGCAGCCCTGAATGGCAGGCCCAGACCAAGCCAGAGGGATGTCACTCCAGGTCAGTCCAAATGCCTGAGTCATGCCTGGAAGTCACAGAGGGCTCTCAGGAGGGTGGAGGCCACAGTGAACCCTCCATGAGCCAGGTTCCAGGGACAGAGGTGGCACAGACATGCAGGCCCTCCTAGAAAGTCCAGAAACAGAGCTAATGGTCTAATGAATTGTTTAATCCACCCTCATGCATTCATCCAGCAAGGATTTACTGAACACCCACATGTGGCAGGCCCTGTTCTAAGTGCTGAGGATATTGCAGTAAACAGGACAGGCCAGGGCTATGCTCCCTGAGAGCTCACATTCTAGCACGGGGAAGACAGACAACCATGAAACACATCCACACAAGGTAACTCCGGAGAGCCTCCAGTGCTACAGGGAACGTGAAGCAGAGGGATGGATTAGAGAGTGACCTGCGGACTGGGAGGGCCTCTCTGAGGAAACAATGTTTGAGGGCCAACTGGAAGAGAGAAAAATGTGCCCAGGGAAGAGCAGAGGGGCAAGCGTGCCACTGGGTAACATGGAACAAGTGAGAAGGACAGGACCTGAGCTAGCAAGGGAAGTGGAGGGAGAGGCAGGAGACTGCTATTAAGGCAGGAATGAGACGGATGCTGAGAGAGAGATTAGGGAAGCAAACAGGAAGGAGAGTAGGCAAGGTGAGGCATGGCTGGAGAGGAGAGAGTGTGGTGGGCTAAGAGTATCAATTCTGGGTTCAAAGCCCGGCTCAGCATTAATATGCTGTGTGACCTTGGGCAAATCTCTTGCCTTCGCTGGTCTCTATCTGTAAAGTGGATGTAGTAACCACCTCAGAGGTTAGATGTGAGACATCAGTGTGTTCATGCATTTGAAGTGTCTACCCAGTGGGTGACCCAGAACAAGACTTGTAAAGGATAAGACCCAAATATGTGGTCAGCGGGCTGCCCCCAGAGGACCCTTTGTACACACGGGCCGGAGGTAGGTCTTAAAAAGCAGGTTCTTGCCAGGTAGGGTGGCAGCTCTGTGCTTTTCAAGGTATAAGCATATAAAAGTATCTCCTGCTTCCAGATAGAGTGGTGTTTGAGGAGGAAAGGAAAGTCAGGGTTCAGAGGCCTGAGTTAGGTTAGGGCAGGGACACTGGCTTATATAAGCACTTCCTAGTGGTATGACCTTGGGATGGGACTTGGCCTCTCATTGCTTCAGTTATGGCCTCTGCTTCCTTGTCTGTAAAATGGGGCCAACTGCACAGACCTTATATGGGGGCTGCAGGTTAGAGGCACTCATACTTTCAGTGCACTCAGTACAGGGTCCTCACATGGGAAGCCTTAAAGAGCTTCATTACTGTGTTCATGTGTAAGATTCCAAGTAGCCTGTAAGAGAAGGGAAGGAGCTCTCCCCACTGTTGGGTATGAGAAGAACAGTGACAAGGAGAGGCTTGGGAGGACCCTTGGATGCCAGGAAGGACTTAGACTGGCAGGGTGGGGGCTGGGCAATCTTAGGCAGACTTGGCAGTGGAATATGCCGGGCTATCCAGGTGAGGGCAGAGTCCAGGTGGGGTGGGAAGAAGGGTATACAGACCAGGGAGAGGCAGGCAGAGGGCCAAGGACGTTAATGCTAACACATCAGGGCTGCTGGAAACATAGTCCTTTCTCCAGGGCCACATGCATCCCGGAAGTCTGACCCAGCCCTTTCATTAAAACCTTCCCATCTCCCATCATGAGCACTCCCCAGAAAAGAGCTTGTAGTTGTTGTTGTGTGCCATTGAGTCGGACCCAACTCATAG